AGAGTAACGGTGTCGGCAACCGCATCCGTGTCGAGGTTCGTGTATATGTCGAGTGCTGGCTAAAACCTAAACAATGTCACAACCTGTGTCCCGTCTGCCACCTCGCCCCTTGCCCAAAAGCCGCACATCCAATATGCACGTAGGGTAGGGTTCGTATTTGCAGATGCTTCGATTAAACACGTAGTACAGGAGATTTGGCTATTTGAAATTTAACTACATTTGTTAGTGTAAATGTAGATGAAAGCATGAAAGAGGGGAGAGACAATGTTTGTCATGTGTGAATGATCCACCGACTTCAAATTCTTCTTCTCTGCCTCTGAAAGATATTCTGTATAACAGAGATTATAACAAGGAGAGAGTGCGAGCAGAGAACAGACTCAACATTTGGCTATGGCGTTCTCTTTTTGCCTATAAAACCAACTAAAATCGAACTAGCACTTAAATTTTACACTTAAATATTCATACACACATTCGTTAATCGTTGGACTTACATAAGCACTCAATACTAACTTTTCCTGTGGAAAGCAAAACACAATTACACGCACATCATTCACAGCACCCGCGTACGCACAAACATCTCGGCAGCTGCCAGAACACTGAACGCGGCGAAGATCAGCTCAAGTCTAGCTCAGCCATATAATTATGACTCTCTCTCTCACTTTCTCAATTGTGTAAGTGTGCGCAGCTGCCCAATGTTGTTATTTATTATTCCAATGTGAAAATTTCCAAGTTCTTTTAGCTAACAAACAAATGGGCCCAATGTTGTTCCGGACGAAAACAAACAAAAGGCGAATAATAAAATGGCCGTCGCTAGAATTAAAATGGCTAACTCAGGGTCAATGTTGGTTACCTTTACATATACAAAACTAGGAGACAGTCAATGCATGGGCTTAAGATGCAATCTTATTTATTTAAAAACAATATATAAATATAACTAAAAGACAACAAGGAAAAGGGGGAGTGAAAGGAAAAGTCAGACAGTTAAAGCAGAGATAAAAGTTTATAAGACAGTCAATACAAGCTCTTAATAAAGGCAAAAATCCAGCGAGCCTTACTTGAACTAATGGTCTGTAAGCATTTACGATCAAATGCTTACTCTAAGAGATATAGCTAAAATTTTGGCACGTATTAATGACAGAAAGGGGGAAAACGAACACGAAGTTCAAATCGGAGCTGTAGATACGCCTAGGCATGTCCTGCTTAATTTAATTAAATTAAACCATTACACACTTAACTTTTGGCTACTGCTGATTGAGTACACAAGGTATATAAAAATAACTGCACGACTTAGGTCTGGCTAAGGTCAATGCCGTATAGACTTGCGAAATTCCGAAGAAAAAATCGAAATTCGTATTGAAATTGATTCGGTAGCAAGCCAAACGTCAACAAAGTCTTTGGCTCTGCCTTTGCCTTAGCCTTTGGCTTTGGCATTTTATCTGACGGATAACGACGCAAAGTAACTGGAATTTAGAGCTGGTTAATTACAATAAATGGCCATTAACACTGTACGCTGGCATTAAGGCAAGGCATTTGAAGAGCTGCCGTTGTGTTGGCCACGTTAACAACGCCGGCGATGACAAATACGATGACGTTGACAAATATGCGAGCTTGTAATGAAAACAAAATGTACAAGCATTTAACCAAGTTTGTTGTTGATATTTGTATGGGAACAATGTCAGCATCTCGGCTGGCAACTGGAGCAGTTAGTTAGCTATGTAGTACACCAAACCTTAACGGCCCTGCGCAGGCCAACTACCAACTGGCAACGGGCCAACAAGTGAAATAATGGCAATTAAAGTAATACAAACCAGTTTGCAGTTAACTTACTTTTTGGCAGCACCACACACACACACATACACAAACACACCTGCACACACACAGACACACACATGTGTTTTATTTCTTTTGATCCATAAGTTCCAGTCATAGGCTTTTGTGGGAGCACCTCTGACCTTGATATACATAAAATATTGTTCACATGCGACTGCTTGGCATTTGTGTACAGCAATCATAACGAAATATGTATTAAAAACATTTTCATGCATATTTTTATAATCGCAATTTGCGCACCGAGATTTTAATTAAGCTAAACTATTTCGTTTTACTACACTGACAAAAACTGCCTACTTTAGTTTTAATGTTAAGCTTTGCGTCGGGCGCTTTAATGAGTTTATACAACATTTTTAAAATGTGTTAATTATGTATGCGGGTCGAATAGAATTAATCAAGTTTTCAAGACCTATCAGCTGTATACATGCTCTATATGAAATGCCAAGCTTAGATTCCATTATCAAAATGATATTATATAGTTAGATAACATTATCGATCGATGACTGTAAACAGTGTTAAATTGTTGAGTAAATACACACGAGACAATTTGGTAGCCTATTGTAATATTTTTTCTGTTTATTGGTTACACCTAAACTTAATCACAAATGAAAATTTTGTTCAAGGGCCGAATATGCATTTGGAGGGTTCTTCCAACGGGTCCGTGCGATTCAATGCCTTGTGACGAGTGCCAAACGGCGAATCGGCGTGGCTAACAATCGAATGCCATTGCCTGCCAGCCAAATGTCATCGTCGGGTGTTGTTGCTGCCGGTGCTGGATGATGTTTAGATGTGCAAAGCCAAATATATGCCGAAAGAGTTGTAGTAGTTGTTGTGTGCCGAGCGTTGGACGTTGGGCGTTCGGCGTTGGGCGTTGGCCGGACCGGATATCAAGGATTACATTCCCATGGAGTTGGCAGCAGCTGCTCTGCGATCTGTGCTGGATGGCCGCAAACTGCAATTGAAACATAATAACCGGTTATGTCATAGATGTTCCTTAAATAGCTTAACCGTTTCTTAAAACTATGTTAATTACAATTTGCAGAATCGCATTCTGCGCTCCGCTGTGCTGCGTCCACTGTCAACTCGTAATTGCCGTAACGAATCCAATTGGTGGCTGCTGTCCTTGGCTCAATTGCTGGCCGTGAGCCCAACCTCTTGGACTCAGCACAAAACACTGAATGAGGCGGCCAGGAGTCGCGCACTCCTATTTATACGAGCCACACGCTGCGAAAGCCTGTTTTGATGCTTGATTCTGGCTGGCGATCCTTTAGCTCACTTGATCGGGTTTAACATTTTCGTTGTTGTTGTTCATGTGCTTTTATTATACCCTAGCAGAGGGTATGTATGTTTGTTGCGAAATATGCCTTGCACAAGAGGAGACGTCTCCGTTCCCATGATCTATATACATATATATTTATAGTATAATATATAAATACATATAGCCTCATCGCCTGGCTGTTTCTATGAACATATGTTATGTTATGTTATGTTGTTAATCGAGCAGTTCGGCATTTTCATAGATATGTCGAAATAGGCCAGACCGGACAACCATATCCAAAAACTTCTATAAAAATGATTATTCTTCGCAAGTCGAGTTCTCGTATGAACATCCTTTTGTTCTTCGAGATATTATTATAGCATTCCAGGAACAATCCAATAAAGTTTATATATAAAAGCTCTTCAAAGTTATTTGTCTGCAAGGGTATTTAATCATCGGCGTGCTAAATACAGTAATACTTTCTTGATTTTACTTATTTTTTTTCTCTTTTGTTTTGTCTGCTCGCATTGTCAGTTCGCATTGTTGTTGGGCTTTCGGTTAAGGCAGATGATAATATGATGATGATGAAGTTGAGAAGGGTCCGCCCGGCACAGTCGATATATCCGATGTGTGCGCACCTAAAAAACGTGCAATCTTCCACTTGATTAGTCCGATTTAAGCAGAAACAGAAATCCCTTCACAAGGGTCAGACTAAACACGTAGCAGTTGGCTAGCTGCGCTTACAACATCCCGACCTTGAAGCACCCTAACAGAATAGTTCTTGTCGGGAAACGCACAACAGGTGCAGGGAGTTATCTGTCACAGATATCTAGAATGGCCGCAAATGATATCAATTGTGGGAAACTAGAGTTTAGTTTGGCCTCTTCACTGCAGATCTAGCATAGTTGTGGTTATTTATTCCAACAAAATATCCCTTCTGCCAGAGCTGTTGCAAATACGCGTATTTATCATTTGAAAAATTGAAGTCATGACCCCAGGATTTCATAGCAGAATCCTGCCGACCCTTCAAATGCATGTATGTATATATATATATATATGCTAATGTGCCTCTCACCCTGCCTGCCCGGCTGGCAAGAATTTCGAATTGTGTCTTCAGACAGCCTGACGAGCCAGGATCATACTTAAGGCAGGACAACAGCGCAGCGCAGTTCGTTGCACTCACGTTGCGAGTGAAAGCGAAGCCGCAGTGGCAGCAGCAAAGGTATGAAACATCCTTAAAGGATTTCAATTTCAAACAAAAGTCCTGCGGACGCCAGACAGCAGGACATGAACTGCAGCACTGCAAATACTACGACTTCGAAATCCTTTTATGCTTTCCATTGTCTGTGAACTTTTTCCGTTGTTTCGACTGGCTGACAAACAAGTTATGAGCTCCTCAAACACAAAAAAGGCAGCAAAAACTGGATAATAGTGCGCAGAATGTGAACGACCTAACCAATTATCAACAACTGCAATTGGAATTGCCGGTCCAGGTAAATAGCATTTATACTTATTTATATTATTGCTTATTTGAATACGCGCTGTGCTGCTTCAGACGGCACCCAAATATTCTAAGAGAATTTTTTCTGAGTACAAATATGGTCGTTGAATAAACAATATTTCTAATATGATTTCTCAACTAAAACGATTAAAAGCCCATTCCTATGCAGCTTGCGTCAATTGTTCAAATACCACAAAAAATAAGACTATAATTTCTTACAAATAAATTTGAGTAAACTGCTGTACAAATTAAAAAATTTAAGAGTATCATCAAATTGAAATATAAAAGAATATAGAAGTCAATGCAACTGTAAGTTGGATATAACCATAGCCTAGATCCAATATACACTTAATTCAGACATTTATTTATGATTTTTCACCAAAAATGTACCAGTATTATGATTTATTCTAATTTCAAATAAAAATCCATTTTAATTGTAATCCAAGATATTCTAACATACATGTATGCATTATTTTATTGTTGATGGCAATAAATAAATGTACAGTAATATGAGCAACGATTCTATATACGATTATAAACAAGAATTCAACATTTTAGTGGTGGTAGGCGACGGCTGGTGCGGAGTAGGTGGCGTAGTGGGCTGCGGGGGCGGCATAGTGGGCTACCTGAGCTGGTGCAGCATAGTGGGCCACTTGAGCTGGGGCGGCATAGTGGGCCACCTGCGCTGGGGCAGCATAGTGGGCCACCTGAGCTGGGGCGGCATAGGTGGAGTAGGCTGGAGCAACAGTCTTGACAACAGCTGGGGCGGCATAGTGAGCCACTGGAGCTGGAGCAGCATAGTGGGCAACAGGAGCGACCGTCTTGACAACAGCTGGGGCGGCATACTGGACAGATGGAGCGGCATAGTGAGCCACTGGAGCTGGAGCAGCATAGTTAGCGGGCGCGGCATAGTGAGCGACGGGGGCGGCGGCAACGGTCTTCACAACGGGAGCAACAGCGACGGCCTTGACCAGAGGTTCACGGTTGACCACAGCGTTGAAGCCATTGACGGGATCGGCGGTGTACTGAACGGTGCGTTTGTAGCCATCGGCATCCACCAGCGAGTACTCGCCACGGACGACATCGCCATCGCGCTCCTCCACCTGACCCTTGGAGTCTCCGGTCAGCTTGTCATCGACTCCGTACGAGAAACGGTACTGGGGATGGGGATCGTACTCCTCGTTGGACTTGACCACCACCTTCTGGGCCACAGCCACGGGGGCACCGTAAGTGGCAACTGGAGCAGCTGCGTGATAGGCCTCGGGCACATAGCCAGCGCTGGCCACGGCGACGAAGGCGAGTGCAAAAACAAACTGGAATGCGGCGAGATAATCCATAAGCACACATAAGTGTATCCATTGTCCAGTGGTACTCACCTTGAATGCCATCTTGTTGCTTTTGGGGTTTAGTTGAGTTCTTTACAGAAGTGAACTTGATCGTCGAATGATACATTTCTGGGCGTAAGCCTCAACTTATATAGCAAATCGGCGACGCGGCTGCGCTGCTGCGAGTGAGCGTTTTATTTTCATGGTGACAGCAAAGTTTTAATGTTTTGGACGTTGATTGTTGGCTGCCGATTGCTGATACTTCCTGTTCGAGAGTAAGTACTGTGGGTGTGCAAATAATCATGTTTTGATCTGCAAGAACTATAGCCAAAAAGAGAAAGATTCTGGTCTCATAGGAAAAGCACGTGTGCCGAGTTGATATGCAGATTTAGAAAAGCTTAACGTAAAATATATAGGTGTTAAGGCAATATTATATATATAAATAATATAAATAAAAAATGTTGACAGTCTGAATTAAGCATAAAGCTTTAATAATCGACTCCACATACTGATAAATTTATTTGAAGCTCGAAATGGAAGTGGGAATTGTACAAACCTATAAGAGTTACGCCTTGTCAGAAAATATGTTCTTCTCATTAGAAATATAGATCCAGCTAAAAGAAATCAAAGAAATTTACTTTACATTCTTAAAGAAAATATTTAAGATGTGGTAAATATATTCTCAGAGTTGACATATGCACACTATGGAGACTATCCAAAAACTAGTAAATATCACTTAAATAAAGCATATACATGTAATAATACATATATAGATATATAATGTAAATAAATATATTTTTTCGTATATTTCTATATTGTATACATACCAATATATATAAATGATTTATTTAATATGTATTAATTGGAGAATAATTTAATATTAAAAGCTACCTTTATACGACATACGACAAATAAAACTGGCTGTAGGAAAAAAACGTTGTATTTTTTTGTAGCGTAAATAAAATAATAATAACTTGTCAACCCATCATATGGACGCATGGGATTATTAAGCAGTCCGTTTTTAGAATGTGCACACACAGTTCAAGGGCACATTTACAGTAAACCTAAATATACCTTACCTACAGCACATCCTTTCGCCCACAGTTCCCTGCAGATATTATTTCAATTCCATTTTATAATCTTTCGCATAAGCAACTGCAATTTGATCGAAAAAACCAAGTACCTGTACGTGGGTTACTTTTGAGACGTTTTCGTAGCTGTAAAGGAAATCGCAAATCCTTTCTAAATAATATACCCTTTGCCACGGCACTTGCTGTCGCTGCCTCTGTCCCTGTCCCTGCCACAGCAGCTCTGTGCCCTGTACAGCTTGACAATCTCTTCGGCTGCCTGCCGTGGTGACTGCGCTAATTTCGAACATGATACGCAGAAGGCCACAGGTAAGCACCTTACGGTTACCGCTATGCAGATATAATCAAATCGGCTATCAGTGAAAACTCTGCGACTGCCTATAAATACCTTGCTCAGCCCAGAAACAGTATCATTCGACATCCGCTCTTGCTTCTGTAAAGAACTCAACCAAATCAAAAAAGCAACAACATGGCATTCAAGGTGAGTACCCCTGGACAATGGATACACTTATGTGTGCTTATGGATTATCTCGCCGCATTCCAGTTTGTTTTCGCACTCGCTTTCGTCGCCGTGGCCAGCGCTGGCTATGTGCCCGAGGCCTATCACGCAGCTGCTCCAGTTGCCACTTACGGTGCCCCCGTGGCTGTGGCCCAGAAGGTGGTGGTCAAGTCCAACGAGGAGTACGATCCCCATCCCCAGTACCGTTTCTCGTACGGAGTCGATGACAAGCTGACCGGAGACTCCAAAGGTCAGGTGGAGGAGCGCGATGGTGATGTCGTCCGTGGCGAGTACTCGCTGGTGGATGCCGATGGCTACAAGCGCACTGTTCAGTACACCGCCGATCCCGTTCACGGCTTTAACGCTGTGGTCAACCGTGAACCTCTGGTCAAGACAGTTGCCGCTGCCCCTGTTGCCCACTATGCCGCTCCCGCTGTCGCCCACTATGCCGCCCCAGCTGTTGTCAAGACGGTCGCTCCAGTTGCCCACTATGCTGCTCCAGCTCCAGTGGCTCACTATGCCGCCCCAGCTGTTGTCAAGACTGTTGCTCCAGCTTACTCCACCTATGCCGCCCCAGCGCAGGTGGCCCACTATGCTGCCCCAGCTCAGGTGGCCCACTATGCTGCACCAGCTCAGGTGGCCCACTATGCTGCACCAGCTCAGGTAGCCCACTATGCCGCCCCCGCAGCCCACTACGCCACCTACTCCGCACCAGCCGTCGCCTACCACCACTAAAATGTTGAATTCTTGTTTTTATTCGTATATAGAATCGTTGTTCATATTACAGTACATTTATTTATTGACCTCGACAATAAAATTAATGCATACATGAAAAATAATTGAATCTCTCTGTTTCCATTCATCGGTAAGCAAGCAAAGGTGCCAGCTATAAGTACTTACAGGATATACCATTCCGGATTCGCATTGGATTTCAAAATAGCATTAACCGATTACGCCCACCTTCATATGTGGTTAGCTTTCAGCAAAAAGTGTTGCCAACTAAATTTGGTGCGACATTGAAATTCGTAAGTCAGGTAAGGTTTTCAATTACGGCCCCATTTGTTACACTAACCAACAATCACCATGAAAATTAAGTAATCCCATCAACAAACAATGTATCAATACTTATAGCCGTGACTGTGGCTATCTCCGTGTTTTGAGTAGCCACAAGGGGAATTCATCTGAAAGATACATATTGATATATACCATTCTTCGATCGTGATTCCGGTTCATGTTTTAAGTTTCATTTATATTTAGCAAATCTTTGCCGGCTTCGGCATTTCCCATTCCGTTCCAAACATGACTCGCTCTATTTTACTGGAACTGGCTTGCCACTGGCCAGACGCACGTCACACCCGGCCACAGAGATCAAAAGTTCTATTACCGTTTTTTATTCGCGTTTGAATAATTGTTGAGTAATGGGATTGAACCTTTCTCGTACTTAAATCGGATTTTTAATTTAATTATTTTTTGATTATCAGTAAACAGGGCGGGGATCACTCAATCCAAATGAATTGAAATTGAAATTGAAAGTCCGTGAGGTCAATGAATTCTTGCTAGAACTGAAAAAGTTAACTTGAACTTGAGTTATATCTCTATACACAAATCGATTTCTCCTGACAAACTGACTAGCAAAGTCAAAGTAAAGTCCAAACCGATGTATGCAGTTTCTTCACTATCTGATCGGTTCTCACTTATTTTCAAATATCATATAGTTTCCCTGGGCGGCAAATGTCGATAAAACTAATGCATGGATTTAAGAAATGACCCTAAATGAAATTTTTTCAATTTAAATAGCGACCTATATATCTTTCTAAAAAATGACCTTAAATGAAATTCTATCTATTTGAATAGCGACCTATTTAGTATTACATCACTTTGCAAAGAGTTGAGTCACATTATGATTTATATGTGTACATGTGTGTGTGTATATTTGTGAGGGCTTGTTGTGGCATGATTGAGCACTTATGCCACAAATCGATAGTAACAAAATACATATGAAGTGAAGAAAAAGCTTCAACCTAAAAGCTCAGGTTTACATGTCTGACAACAAGTCGAGAGTTTTGGACATGGGCCCGGTGCTCGTAGTATTTGTGTGTAGCCACTTTTTTTCAATATTTTTGTAGCTTTTTAGGTCATTCCAGTGAGCCAACTGGACAGCTAGTGAGTGGGCAGGGTGTGTGTGTATGTGTGTGTCAAGTGCAATGCTGGCATCGATCAAGTTGTCTTTATTGGGTTACTTACATGACTCGACGCGGCCGCAACCCGACCCCGATCCCGGTTGCTATCGAAGCCAAGTTGCTCGCCTGAGTCTTTTGTTAGCTGCATGTGTTTTTGTTTGCCGGCTATTTCGTACCGCCGTTGGTCTTCCATTCATAACAATGGCAACGGTACGAGAGCGAGTTGGCCAAATGGGTGTGACTCGTGGGTGCAAATCGGCAATGGATCGAGCGGCGAACCGTTTGGTAACTGAAGAAAAAAAACCATACAAAGAGAGACATGCAAATGAATTAAAATTCAAATTATTTGTGTAAAACTTACGAAAAAGTGAAAGAAAGGCCAGAAACAATGGAGATTGAAGCTCTGGCCCTGGTGGCCACCATCAAATTTCGTCTATAAATACAAATGCAATTGGTGTTCAATTATTATTCACAACACGGACTTCGGCAGAAGGAGTACACAGCTCAGTCTTAGTCTTAAAACCTCATTATCCAAGCAAAATGGCTTTCAAGGTGAGTCCAATAATCCCAGGTGTAAGAAACATGGTGATCATTTTCTCGTTTTTGCAGTTCGTAGCACTGGTCTCCCTCATCGCGGCCGTATCCGCTGGCCTTATTCCTGTGGAACACCACGAGCAGCCACAGCTTTATCACGCTGCGGTGCCGCAACAGCAGCATGTGATCTACCAGAAGCCACACGACATTCACGCACACGCCCACGCCCATGAGGTCTATCCCGATGATCCTCATCCCAAGTACAACTTTGCCTATGATGTGCAGGATGCCGTGTCTGGTGACTCCAAGAGCCAGGTGGAGTCCCGTGACGGTGATGTGGTGCAGGGCGAGTACTCCTTGGACGATGCCGATGGCTTCCGTCGCACCGTGAAGTACACCGCTGACTCCGTTAATGGATTTAATGCAGTCGTCCATCGCGAGCCACTGTCGCACACACACCACAAACTGGTGGCTGCTGCTCAACCTGCGCCCGTACAGTATCACCATGCCGCTCCCGCCTACGCTGCACCCACCTATGCCGCTCACGCACAACCCACATACAATGTTCACCACGAGCACGAGCCCCAGCAACACCAGCACCAGGAGCACTATGCCACCTACGAGACTTCTGCTCCAGCTACTCATGATGCCCACGACTATTATCATCACTAGAGCTACGACTTGCGCCGACGAAAGTATTATTGCATCTTCCATTCCACGTTTCCATTTCTAAAACATATCTAGATCCATAGGCTCTGTTAAATAGTTCTATTGTAAATATTTTAATAAATTTATTAATGCATTAAAATTGTTGGCAAAAAATGATTCATTATCGAAGGATATCATATATTTGAGATATGATATGATATATGCGGTATAAAATCCCAAACGAAGCTGAGGAAGAGGAGGTCTTTGAGCTTTAATAGCAATTGCGGCAAGTAGTAGCTAACACATAGGAGCGCTAGGCTTCAAAGTACCCTGAAACGAAATTAAAATACACCAAGCCTAAATTAAATATTTTGTACTTCTTTCTTTCTTTTGATCATTATAGTTAGCATTAAATATATGAACATAACACCTATAATATTTTTTTAAGTATGGCAAGAATCGAGAAACTATTGTTATCAATATATTTTATAAAACACTTTTAAATTAATTTATAAGTGGCCCTCCTGATATAGATTTAAAGTAGCATTTGTGAATAGCTGGCAGCTTACCGAACAGCTGATTGACAAATTTCGTAAAAGTAAACAAAGGCACAAAAGCCCAAAGCACGAAAAGAAAGTGTGAAAAGTCTAAGCCTCACATTAATTATAGTCTGCTTGCACAATACGTAGTTTTTATATTTATTATATTTTCGCTGCAATGTGAACATTTTCAGCTACATTTCTATCTCCCTGCTTTCAACTCCTTTTTATGCAATAAATAAAAAATTATTAGCACTTTAACAATGTGAATAAGCACTAAATGTCGCCGCGTATTTTCCTTGTAGAAAACGTTCACACAAGCAAAGGAATCACACTACTATGCTTTCACAACGTTTTAAGATATAAAATAAATTAACTATAGTTAAGTATATATATTGAAAAACATAAGCAACTTAAATGGATTTTATAAATATTAATAACTACAAAAGTAAGGTTAGAGGTTAAGGACTACAATTTAGACAGCTGAAGCCAAGTACTTTTCGAAATATAATTGTTTTGATTATTCTCCAATTAGATGAAAGATATAACTCAGTGAAATACTTTCACTATATGTACTATCAATTGTGCAATGTTAAAAAGATCCGAATTCCATTAAATTGGCAAAAGAATATTTGTTTCTTTGCCCACAAGGCATTAAACATGATCAGCCGCATTAACAGTCAACAATCAGAGCATACACTTATGTATGAATGCGATGTGTAATTTATATAGTTTAGCTCTCTATATAGCTCTATATGTATTTATTTTCGCATTTGAGCTAACCGGTTTGGCATGCCAAAAGTATCCGATAGCAACAATGGCAGTTTTTTTGCAATTGTAATGTCGCGCACACAAATTGAATGTCAAGTAGCCGCGGGCAGATTTTGGCTGCGTACTTGATGGTTGTGTAGATCGGAGTCCGGAACCTCGACGGTACATGCGTCCATGAGCATGAGCAATGGTATGTCCAATTGCCAGACAAGACCTAATTTGCTCCACATTCTTCACACAAATGCGTTCGCCCTGCACTCAATACTCGGCCCGGCCCGGCTCGGCTCGGCTCGACCTTTCGCTCCTCTTTGTTTCCAACGGAGCTTGTGTGTAATTTGCTTAACAATAATGAGCAGCCGCAGCAAACGCACAACCTCGGGCATGCACCTGCCCATGTCCAAATGCCGTTTGCTCTATAAAAACCGCAGACTGCTCAATTTCTAATCATACTGCAGACTTCGCTTCATTCGATAGCACACGCTTTCAGTCACACACCAAGCTCTTCAAAATGGCATTCAAGGTATGCGTATCTGGAGTACCCTTTGACGAACAACAGCAGTTTATGTAATACCCATTCCTCTCTAGTTCATCGCACTCTTCGCTCTGATCGCCGCCGCCAGCGCCGGTCTCCTGCCCGCCGCACAGGTCTACCATGCTGCGCCCGCTGTGGCCCACTACGCCGCACCCGCTGCCGTTGTCAAGACAATTGCGCCCGTTGCCCAGCACGTGATTACCAAGGCGGCCGAGGAATACGATCCACATCCTCAGTACAAGTACGCCTACGATGTGCAGGACTCCCTCTCCGGTGACTCCAAGAGCCAGGTGGAGGAGCGCGATGGTGATGTGGTCCGTGGCGAATACTCGCTGGTGGATGCCGATGGCTACAAGCGCACCGTCCAGTACACCGCCGATCCCATTAACGGCTTCAACGCTGTGGTCAACCGTGAACCCCTCGTCAAGGCCGTTGCCGCTGCCCCCGTTGCCCACTATGCTGCCCCCACTGTGGCTCACTATGCTGCTCCAGCTGTGGTGAAGACAGTGGCTCCAGTTGCCCACTACGCTGCCGCGCCCGCTGCCCACTATGCCACATATGCCGCCCCATCTGTTGTGAAGACCGTCGCCCCGGCTTACTCGACCTATGCCGCCCCAGCCGTCCATGTGGCTCATCATTACTAAATGCCATTTTGTTATATGTGTTGACTGAAACTGATTGCAATTAACTTGCCAAGTTTAAATAAATTACAATAATTCGTTTACCTTTACATTAACATTTGGTCTTACTCTTCTTATCCTTCTGCTTAATTTTGGAAGAAATTGAGTCTCTTAGATGGACCTAAACAGGATCTCAAAAATGAGTATAATTTTGCATCATCCTTATTTTGGAATATTCGTACAGAGAAATTGGAAAAGTAAGAAACGATATTTTTGATGATACGATTTCTCAGATAATAGTGACATTTGCAACTGTGACACGTAAATGACTTTTTTTAGAGATTCAGATAGAATATATATCATATATAATTAGTAAATAAATTGCATTGACTAAAACAGTTGTATCTAGTAGTATTAACTTATTGTGACTTCTGCGTACAATATTATTATACGGATTTCATTCCCGACCTGACAATAAAAAAATTTGGAGCTTATTAAATTCACTTTGCCTAACTTTTAAATTTGTGGGCCTTTCAATTTTCTCACACACTTTAATTAGCTCAAATTTAATTAAGTTCAAATCCATTATACTAGTGATCGAATAGGATATATCCTAAGCCCAGCGCCAAGCTTCGTTACAAACATTATAGTTTGCCTTAATACATACGCAGTATACCTAGCGTTTTGCGCTTCTTCTTCCCTTTACCTTATAAGATTAACAATGCTTTTTTAAATAGCTTTCGTGCTTATAATCCGATCAACCAACGATTACATTAAAATACATTAAATATGGCAAACAACTAAACGTGTGCATAAACTAAATATCTAATAATTTTCGAGTTAGAATGAAAAATCTGTATATATAAAATTGATATTTATATATATAAGAAAATGGAAACAGATATCCAAAACAAATGACAAACTGTGTCGACATATGGCATACAAAGATATACATATTGAATTTTTCCGTCTCTAGCTTTAGCTCCGAAATCGGTTAGACGGACGGATATGGCTGGAACTCATCTCAGTACATTGATCAAGAACATATACTTATAATCGGCGATAACTTACATTTCTGTCTTTTACATAAATTCTCAGAAAACAATTATACCCTCTTGCCATTTTGAATGGGTTGAGGGTATAACATCAGTAATAAAACTATCTTACCGAGTCTGACTTGTGTCTGGACAGTGGCAAACCAGTTCCTGTAATATAGAGCGAGTCATGTTTGGAACGGAATGGGAAATGCCGAAGCTGACAAAAAGCCGTCAAATCTCAATTGACTCTAATAGCAAAATCTCATCCGGAATCATGTTGAGCACTGCATGCAACCAAAACAGTTTTAATACAGCTTAAAAAAAAATACATCAATCAGATATGTTGTCTAAGTTAAAGATTGAAATCAAAGAATACAGGCACTACTAAAAGAGTTCATTTTCATGGTGATTGCTTGGGGAGTGTAGCAAATGGAGCCGTAATTGAAAACCTTACTTCACTATGGAATTTCAATGTCGCACCATATTTAATTGACAACAGCTGCGACCAAAAGCAATTCAGTTGGGCGTGTGGGCATAATCGGCTAATGTTACTTGGATCGCGATTCCAGAAAGGCATGGCATGCTTTAAATTAAGAGTCTTTTTTCTTCAAATTAATTAATAATATAATTTCTTCCATATTTAACTATAACAAATCAACTAGAGGAACAACAATATTAATGATGGTAGGCAACAGCTGGGGCGGCATATGTGGCGTAGTGGGCAGCTGGGGCTGCATAGTGAGCCACAGCGGGAGCAGCATAGTGGGCAACGGGGGCGGTGGCAACGGTCTTCACGATGGGAGCAACGGCAACGGCCTTGACGAGGGGTTCACGGTTGACCACAGCGTTGAAGCCGTTAATGGGATCGGCGGTGTACTGGACGGTGCGCTTGTAGCCATCGGCATCCACCAGCGAGTATTCGCCACGGACCACATCACCATCGCGCTCCTCCACCTGGCTCTTGGAGTCACCGGAGAGGGAGTCCTGCACATCGTAGGCGTACTTGTACTGAGGATGTGGATCGTATTCCTCGGCCGCCTTGGTAATAACGTGCTGGGCAACGGGCGCAATTGTCTTGACAACGGCAGCGGGTGCGGCGTAGTGGGCCACAGCGGGCGCAGCATGGTAGACCTGTGCGGCGGGCAGGAGACCGGCGCTGGCGGCGGCGATCAGAGCGAAGAGTGCGATGAACTAGATAAAGAAAAGCCCGAATTTATATTCCGCAATACCCTGCAAAAAATGTCTTGCAGACATACCTTGAATGCCATTGCGTTTGTGTTATGTGGAGCTGCTGTTGAGGGCTGAGAGCAATTTGAACTGTGATTGCTGCTGCTGCTTGCTGTTAGCTTATATAGAGCGATCCACCTGCCGAATCGGGGTCTGGCTCTTCGTCGCCGAAGTCGCGTAATAAGTGCAATTCATTTATGCTAAATATGTGTGGAAAATGTAACATTAAAAGCGAGTGTGAGTACATTGTCTACTAAAACACATACATAGGAACGAGTTGTACGTATTATATGTTTTGTGTTTCGTCATCTAAATACATTTCATTTACTGGGGGTGGACGAAAACTGGTTTTTTGCTCCACAACGATGAAATAGTTAATCCTTCACAAAAATGTTGACACATGCGCAATGCATGGCTAATTGTCATAATTAAAATATTTAAAACAATTATTTCAATTTAATTAATATGAACATTTTTTTTTAATGGGTAAACATATTTATAGATTTAATTAGGCAATCATAATTTTAATAATATAATGTTTAAAATTTTGAAAACCTATGTTGACATACCGCAATTTATAAGTAGCTCATTTAACCATTTTTATTCAAGAAGATTTTTTACTGCTTCCAAATTTCAAATGTAATGTAATGTAATGAACATATAATTTGTTCGTGAACTGAGCGTTACTTTGGAATAAGAATAATTATTTTACGACTCAGGTAATTAACTCATCAGTTTCATTACATTCAGCATTGACGAAAATTGTGTCAACTACTAACTTGACGTCTGCAAACCCATTTAAACAACTTGGCATGCAACCTGCTTGATAGCAGCATAACAATTAAACGTCTCTAAAGGAAGCACCCAGTTGACCTCCCCTGAGATTAAGAAATACAAATTTTTTAATTAAGGTAGTATCTATCTCTTAATGTAAGAACCGAAATATCCATCTGTTAATGTAATATTTTAAAATGTAATCATTGCCTCCTTTATGGGCGATATAATAAGAATTCGCAGTTAAAACTTCCACTCTATTTTCTAAGAAACACATTTATATTATATAAAATATGAAAATAATTTATTTTACTAAGTTATTTGGCAGACATATATTCAAAAATATATTTAATCCAATACTTAATTGTAAGTCATTGGGCATATTTTTCGAAATCAAAAATTGTTTTTGATTATTCGCACACCATCAATTTAAAATGGAATTTTCTTTGTGCAATAACTGTAAACTGTAAGAGGCATAGTTAAGGAGCCAGAGCATAAATAAGTAATATGCACTATGGGTTTTTAATTAAAGATACCCATTGAAACGACTGGCCCAGCTGGAGAACCGAAGAACGTACGTGACATTTATACGTGACTAGCTTTTGGCAGCGTCCACCCGCAAATGCACTTTCAATATCAGCGCGGGGCTGCGAAGCGCCAAAAATGAATTCCAATTAGGTGTCATCAATGTCAGCGAGTTGACTATATAACCTTATGGCCGCAGCTTGGTCAGACATTCAGTGTTCAGCTTCTGCTTCAGACAGCACCGAGTTATCCTCCAATCAAATCCCAACGAAATGGCTTACAAGGTACAAGCAGCGGCTTTCAGGCACATGGATTACACTAGGATACTAATCCATTCTTCAACATTCCCCAGGTCGCATTCGCACTTGCTATGCTCACCGTGGCCCAGGCGGCCGTGCTGAGAACTGTGGCACCCGTTGCCGTAGCACCCGCACCCGTTCTGGCCAAGACCGTTGAACTGGAGGAGGTTGATCCGCATCCCCAGTACTCGTACAGCTACGATGTGCAGGACACCCTCTCCGGAGACTCCAAGGGTCATGTGGAGGAGCGTGATGGCGATGTGGTCCGCGGCGAGTACTCCCTGATCGATGCCGATGGCTTTAAGCGCACCGTCACCTACACCGCCGATTCCATCAATGGCTTCAATGCCGTTGTGCGCCGTGAACCTATCGTCGCCGTTGCTGAGCCCGTGGTTAATGCTGCGCCGGTTGCTGTATCCGCACCGCTTGTCCGCTCTGCTCCAGTTGCCGTCTCCGCACCCCTCGTGCGCTCTGCGCCAGTTGCTGTATCCGCGCCCCTCGTTCGCTCTGCTCCCCTCGCGGTTGTGAGAACCGCTGCCATTGCTGCTCCTCTACGATACACCGCGCCCGCCTATGCCGTTAGGAACTTGTAACTTGACCTGATTTAAATAGTGCTCCTGGTTATGACTATAAAACTATATGTGATTCTTTTTTAAAAATGTTGTTTTTCTTGAACAAAAAGATTGTAGTCGCGTTTCTTGGTAGGAGTTTTTTGAATGTCCAGATTCTTTCAAATTTGAGAAAACCTAAAAACTCTTAAATGTTCTTGATTGCAAACCCAGCCTGTGAGAGTTTTTTTTAATGCATGAAAAGGATTTTAGGGACTGCATTTTTAAAACTTCACCCCCAACCTACAACTATTAAACATTTTAATATTTTGTTGAAGAGTTGAAGAGAATTGATATGCTTTTTTTGATTATTGATGATTACAATAGTCCCAGTTAAAATAATTAAAAATAACATATGCCATCCAGTTGGCAAATAAAGTGTTAATAATACTTATATGTATATGCATTTAATTCGATATCGCCCTCAAGGCGAAATTGTGAAAGCGCCAAAGACACGAATTGCCCGCGGTCAAACAGCAGCAATTGGAGAGGGTGTGGTTGTGCGTTTGTCTGTTCGTGTGGTTGTGTATTGAACACCACTTACCTATGACACTAATCTGCGCACATTTACATGTCGCAGTTGTTGCATAAATAAATACTATATGAATTTCGGTGCGTAATTACTTCGCTCGCAGTCGATAAATCAGCAAAAATAAATACGAGTGACAAAAATATATTGTGCAAAAGCAAAAAAAAATAATAATAATATATAAACATTATTTCAATTTGGCGAGTAACAGTTGGAGTATAAAACCAGGTGGTATGCAGTCTGCAAATCATTCCCCAGCTTCTCTGCTTTCGTATCACTGTTCGGATATTCGCCAAGCCCTCAAGCTTACTCGCCATGGCCTTCCAGGTAAGCCTTGTCTTTTATTGCGTAAATTGCCGGGTCCTTGATTTGTATATCTATTACCTTGCAGTTCTTTGCCATCCTCGCGCTCGTTGCCGCCGTCAGCGCCGGCGTACTGCCTGTCCAACAGGTGTATCATGCTGCGCCCGCCCCAGCTGTCGCCTATGCCCATGCCCCAGTGGCTGTGGCCCATGCACAGCCAGTGCTGGCCAAGCACGATGATGAGTACGATCCCCATCCTCAGTACAAGTATGCCTACGATGTGCAGGATGCCCTCTCCGGTGACTCCAAGAGCCAGGTTGAGGAGCGCGATGGTGATGTGGTCCGTGGCGAGTACTCGCTGGTGGATGCCGATGGCTACAAGCGTACCGTCCAGTACACTTCGGATCCAGAGAATGGCTTCAATGCTGTGGTCAACCGTGTGCCCATCGATCACGTGAAGACCGTGGTCAAGACCGTCGCTGCCCCTGCTCCTATTGCTGTCGCTACCGCACCCCAGCACGTTGCCTACCACCAGCACCACTAAGTGGATCCTCCTCAGCCATTCCATTTACTTAAAAGCCATTTTTATGTCCTTAACTTGAATAAATTGTTGAATATTTCTAAGCATATACAAATGAAGATTTTGAATACGTTAACAGGGAGATAATAGGATAATTCAGAAAGTAAGGAAAAAAAAAACAACCTGATGAACTGAATAAACAGAAGACTAAAGCATACTTATAAGTTGACGAAGGAATCTGAAAGGATGTAATAAATATAATGCTACAATTGTGTTCAAGAAAAAAATCAATCCTTTTAGAAGCCCATCATTGAATCGAAACACGTCTCAAATGATTTTTCATAGTTATGAATTTGAGCGCGAAACGTCACCCACCAAATCTTTGACCCCCATTTCCACCATGGAGGGATGGATTTTCTAAACACCCCTCAAGAGAATTCGGCAAAGATATTTTAAATTGACTTTGAGTCCGATCGGATGATAAGAAAAAAAGTTGCATGCAAACGTTCTTATTGATTTTTCCACACTTGCGGGTGGAATTTCCCGAAACCTAGCCTTAACGTGCATCTTCATCACATAAGGTAACTACAGTGAAAATTTCAGCTGCCCAAGACAAAGAGTTTTATATATAGATATTGTAGCACAGACCAGCTAATTATGGAGACTGCTCATAGTGTCTGACGACTCTGAGATACCAAGGACAAATTCATTCATAATTTAGATACTCTCCACAAGAAAAATTATTATAACAGAATGAATTCAAATAACTTATGCAATACAGCCAGATCCTCATCTGTGTTCGAATAATCCCCTATAGAGTTACAAAATCAAAATCACGTACACAACACCAAATTACATCTCAATTAAGGCAACAGAAAGATCTCACAGAAGCACCACCTTGATACGACTGGCACACAATATATACTTTAAATCAATTTTCGACAGCCTCTGACGCAGATTGCACGCTTCCAACTCATTATGGGGAATGGAACAGCCCCACATTTACCATCTGCCTGGTACCGTTTACATTTACACCAATCACCGCAAATCGATGCAGACGTATTGAATATATCACGGGATGTCCATGTGTCCATATGTAACGCACATGCAATTGCCTTACTCAAAAATTCAATACATTGGGCCTCGCAAACAAGTTAAGGTCAGAGATTTGGTTTGTTTTGGGCCTTTCGCCAAGTGCAACGCGAAATGTGTTGGAAAATGATTTACGTGGCTTTATTGTCTTAAATCGCTGCCATTGTCTTATCATCCAGATAGCGACGCACGGATATGGACAGGTCGCAGCTCTTGTACTTTCCCTTAACATCTGTTCCACGCACATCCACAACACGCCCAAAAGTGCCAAGGCAATGACAGTTGGCCACTGCCGCCTCTTTGTCCTCCAATTGCTGCTGGCGACAAGTGACCAGCGACTTTGAGTGTTAAGGTCAAAGTCAGGTTTTATGGTTAATTACCACGTGTACAGCGCTTGGAGTTGTGTAGCTGTCCGGATGACATGTTCGTGTCTTGCGCCCGTTCCCATGCCTGGCGCAAAGTACAAATACATTCAGCAGTAACAGTAACAGTGGCTAAGAAAAGACAACGCACTACGTGCCAGACCGATTGCAATTACACCAACAAACCATTGATCCAAACGAGCTGGCGCTGGCTACTCGACCTACTGTCCGTGTACCTGGCCCATAAAACCACAAGGCGATTACAAAAATGTGCGTAAAAACCAGCACTGCGTACAAATCTTAAGCGTGTTTGCACTGCCAAACAAAAATTCAACAAATTAATTCTACATTCAATATAAAATACTTTGAAAAATCGCAAGTATGTTTAGTTGATTATACATGTATTTTTTTAACATGTTTTAAGAATGACTAAACTCACAAATTATATACCAGGACATTCAGACGAGAAAAAAATACATATTACATAAATAAATTAAGTTATATGTACACATGTTTTCAACATTATTAAGCAACTTTAAAAAATTTTTGGTTTTACATAAAATATAAAAAAAAATTCATATATAAAATATACTTCTTAACACTTTAGTAAGTGTTATTTATTCACATTATTATACGAATTCTGGACCTGAAACTCTTTATTTTTGGAATAACTCAAAAATATACATAGTTATTTCGATATTTATTCTGTATGCGAGGGACAGCAAATTAATAATAACTTCATCTATTGCGCTTATATTAAATCGATTTCTTATCGCTTATGTAATCGATTAACAGTTTTCTGGCCATTTTCAGCTAGTTCCTTTCGCGACTTAATCAGATTTGAAATATATTTGGACCAAAGATGTTTAACTAAGCCTGAGATTTTATTTTCCGAATTCAAAAATAGTTGAAAATACTTTGAAACATATATAGTGCAAAATTTTAAAATCGTTAAAATTTAATATGTTTTCTCATATTTTCGTCCTTTCTTTTATATTGATTAAAATGAAAAAGAAATCATTATTAATGATACTCCAGCCAAAAGCCGTTGATCAACACAAAAGCCACATCATTTGCCAGTCTGAACATAATTTTGGAGTCTTGACTTTACAAATTTGTTCGCATGCCGCATTCTCGGCCAACTTTAAATGAATTTTTGGGCATCTCACGTAGCGGCAGCCGTGAATCATATGAATGTTTACATTTACGCGATTTCGTTTTGCTTTTGGCGGCTTTTTTTGTAGCTTTTGCTTTTGGCTAGTTCTTCCCTCTGGTCTTAATAGCTCTTTAAAGTGGTTCGGTGCCGGGCACGACCTTGAAATTTTTGGCCACTGGAGAGGGAAAGTAAAATAAGTTTGTGCATGTAATGTTTTTTAATTTCTTTGGGAATTTTTTGTGATTACTTTTAGCTTTAAGGTAACATATGCAACTCTTACTGTAAATTAAGTGGCTTACAGCTCTTCGATAATATATCCTATGGGTAAGTCGACTAAACCAAAGAACATATTTTATAGAAGAATTATGGGTTTGCTTCAAAGTACACTCAAAAGTGCAGTATTCAAACTCAACTCTTTCCAAAAAAATCTTACTTTAGGTTGCTGTGAAAATCCAAATATCTATGCGAAAGATTTTAATATCAAACAACGAGCTTGTTCTATGACATCACATTCTTTATTCAATAACAACTAACGGCAATTATCAGGTCGGGCAGCACCTATCTGGTCATCTAATAGGCGTACGAGATAAGAGGCGAAGCGAACTGCGTCTTGACGAAGGCTGGGCCAGCGGCGACTAGAGGAGCGGCGGCCTTCACAATTGGTGCCGGGGCAGCTGCATAGGCAAAGGGAGCGGCGTGCACAACTGGTGCTGGGGCAGCAACGACGGGAGCGGCACGCACAACTGGCGCTGGGGCAGCCACAACGGGAGCAGCGGCCACAGCGGCGACCAAAGGTTCACGGCGGACCACAGCATTAAACCCGTTGATGGAATCGGCCGTGTAGTCCACAATGCGACGGTAGCCATCGGCGTCATTCAGCGAGTACTGGCCCTGGACTAAATCACCATCACGGGTCTCCACCTGGGTCTTCGAATCGCCGGAGATCGCATCTTTGACGTCATATCCGTAGGTGTATTGGGGATGAGGATCGTATTCCTCCACCTGCGCAACGGCGGCCAGGGGTGCAGCAACAGGAACGACACCGGCGCTGGCCACGGCGATGCAGGCGGCGAAGAGAATGGTGAACTGCAAGTAGACGAAACACACACACACACACGTTTTAGATTCACTTTGCACTTGATGGGCCACGTGTAAGGATACCAGCTGTTAATCCTTTAGAGTGCATATTCATTTTTTTGTCGGGGTAGGGCGTTTGGCTTACTTTGAATGCCATTGTTTTGAGGTTTGCTTGGGTTGCTCTAGATACCGTAATTGGATGTGAACTGATTTGAACAGTGTCCAACTGGGGCTTTTATACCGCGCTCGAGGCGATGTGCCCGAATTCGTAACCAAATGCGTGCACTTGCGTCACAAAACGCTGGCGACAATACCAAAATACAAAACAACCAATACTAAAATGCCAGACGAGCAAGACTAGAAGCCATGTGGTAGGTGGTGGAGCTGCTGGGGGAAGTGATGGAGGTGGCGGCTGTAGCAGGCGGGCGGTGCAGGCAATTGGCCAGCCGATCGGCCCAAGCACATTATTAACCAAGGCTAAGCGCGCAAGTGACAAAAGCAACAGCAGCAATGACGATGATAACAACAACAACAACAACAACAAGCATTAAGGCATAATGCCTTCTTGATTGAATTGGACGCACTCGAGCCGAATTAATATTGGCCTCAGATACTCAGAAGTCGCATACTCAAACGTTGTGCACTGCGAGCCACTAAATCGATGCGATCGTTCATTTGTTTTCGCTTTCGAAAACCACACATACCAAACACACACACGCACACCCATTATGTGTAATATCGTATGCAGCGCATGCGCAAATGCATAACAACGGTTTTTCAAATCGACTGTGCCCGTGCACTTGCATGCACACACACACACACACACACACACACACACACACACACACACACACACACACACGCACACCCTTGTATCTTTACCTGCCCACACCCCCCCCCCCCCCCCCACCCCCCTTTCCAGACTAACGCGACCTTAAACATTGTTTAGGCGCTGGCGCTCCATTTGAACTCTAATTGGATTTCACATACTTGCTTTTGTTGTCGCCACCTTCCAAACTTCCGATGCGGACTCTGTACATAAAATGTAGAAACCCCAATCTTGGACATGCATACGATTTTTTAGTTAGCCGAATAAAGGCCCATATTTATGTACTTTAAGCTCATTAGAGTTCTTATTTCGATTTCACTTTTAACAAAATTTATAGGAAGCATAAATACTGCCCGTCTACGCCTTAACATGATTATTTCTATTAAGAGGTAAGAGGTAAAAAAAAAAAACAAATATATCTCTAAATTTTCCGCTCCTTGAACAGCATATTATGTTTTAAAAAACACTGATAACATTTATATAAAAATGTAATAAATTAATGATAAAATGAAGAACAAATATGGAATGTTTAATTCGCGTGTGTAAAAAATAGGGGGAAGTAAAGGTAATGAATCAAACAGTTAAAACGAAAAAGTCAGTTTCCTTTCAGAATGTCAAGAAAAAATATTTAATAATATAATTTATCAAATATAATAAAAGAATATACTCTATAATAAGAGTATAGGTTGGACCAAATTATATTTTTGATAATTTTGGTAGCTTTGGGCTTTACTTTTATTGATGTATATAAGTCTATAAAATAGTGAAGGTTGCTATCTTAACCATTTCTCTCGTAACTCCATTTAAAATGCTATAAGCAATTGTCATTCTCATTCCACACACAAACATAACTGATATATAGAGAGAAAGACTCTAAGCAATCAGAGAGAGAAAGAAAGAAAAGATTCCAAAGACAAGTGATGGCCATAAAAGGTTTCCTTGAAGAACAAACAACAATTAAGCGTGCTCTAGTCAGGAGTGTCCGACTGGAAGATACCCTCAACTAAAATATAACAAAATCATTCTGCGTATTATTCAAATTTGAAACATATATGAAAACCAGTGTCAACAGGCGTAATGCAAGTTAATGTTTGCGACTATACAATTCAATTCCTTTAAAATCGAGTTTATTTAAAAAGGCATTAAAATAAAATGTATGACATCAGACTTAGTTTCTCTCCCACTATCTAGTGCTGGAACACATATGAAATGGTTTGAGGATGGGCAACATGTATCGGCGATTTCAACAGGCCTGGCACGTGGTGAGACACAATGGTGGGTGCGGGGGCTGCGTGAACAACATGTGCCACGGGCGCATGGTGTATCAATGTGGGTGCGACATAGCTTCTAACCACCACTGGCTGGACTGGCTGCAGTTTGGGCATTGGCACAGCCACTTTCAGTTGCTTGGCGACTGGTGCCGCGGCATTCAGAGGCTCACGTCGCACCACAGCGCTGAAGCCACGCTTTGCATCTGCCGTGTAGTCCACAATGCGCCGATAGCCATCCGCATCGTTCAGTGAATATTGGCCCTGCACTAAGTCGCCGTCCCGTGTTTCCTGCTGTGACTTGACATCGCCGCTCACCGCATCCTGTACATCATAACCGAAGGAGTAGCGAGGATGTGCATCGAAGGTGTCTTCGCTGTTGGCCGCTTTGCGAGGCAACAGGGCTGCGCTGGCCAGAGCGAAAAACGCGGCAAACAACAAAATCTATCAAGAAATTATGTTCAATGTTTGTGCAGTTTTACTATAGAATCAACAATCTGTGCTCTTACCTTCGTAAACATAGCAGACATTTGAGTAGAGTATATTTTCAACGTTTTGTCCTGTCGACTGCTAAACTGACACAATAGCTCTTCAGATCGCCAGAGCCTTTATATAGTGCACTGGACGCAGGTTAATGGTACACTAACCCAATGCCACAATTAAGCGTCCCAGTTACCAGTCGCCCGCCAGTATGCTGTTAAGCATGACAAGGTCATGATGATACCTGTGCACACCAGACTTCCAGACGTGCGCCTAATTGGAGACGATCTCAACAAGTTTATCAGCCATCGACAGGTTTCTGGCGTAGTCTGGTCGTGTAATTGACTTTTGCATCGCAGCTTTGTGAAAAGGTGCTTCTGCCACGCCGCATAATAATTGCAATAACAGAAAAGCACTTGTGGATATTTATGACATTATTATACTAAGCTGAATAGCTTTTGAATCGATAATGGTCTATACTTTAACTACTTAATTATGCTTATCACTTTTATTTTCTCTTTAAATGATTCTCAATTCAAAAAATAGTAAACTCTTCCCTTTGAACTTTAACATTATGCATCTGTATAATCTCGTGAAACCTTCACCGATAATTCTAAAATGTTCAACATTTTGTCTAAATTTCAATTACTGCATTTAATTTAAAAATCTTTACATTGCAAATATCTAAAGCCCAGCTCGTGATAAATCAATTTTTACGCTCCGCCTAAGAGTATGCTTTATAACTTTTGTGCTTTTATTGAATCCGAAAGATGGCGAGAAATATATATTTAAAGCTTAAAATACAAGATGAGTTGAGAAAAATATATATTTGTTTATTCTCATCAAGAGGGTAATAAAAGAAATATCATATATGCAGTTATTGGAAGCGCCTTGCACGGAAAACAGAATATTTACATTTTCTTAAAATTAAGATGTTCATTTTCAAACCCTCTCAGAGGTATTATATTTTTGTCGTGATATTTGTAACGCATAGCAGGAGACAATTCCCACCGAATAAAGTATATATATAATTAAGTTTTACACGTTAGGTTACTATAAAAAAATATATTTCAATTTATTATTTTCACTTAACGGCTACTTTTGTTGAGTACATTCAGATTTGCTTCCCGAATATGAACTGATTTATCTAACTGTTGCGGTCGCTTAGCAAACTTCGCTTTGAGAGAGTTTGAGTCAAAATTGAGTGAAGTTTGAGCTGCGTCAGCAATTATGCGTGGGATAGTACTCTGATGGGAACATTGACAGTGGCGTGATATTTAGGGTGAATTGTTTATGTCTACCAAAGGGGGACAGTTTGATCTTGACCAATGTCGATGTTATCACCAGGCTCTTTGTTTACAATATTAGAAATGTTTATAATTGTGCTTATGCTTATGTGCTAAGTTATGTTAAAGGGTGGGTGCGACTATGGATATGTCACTCCCCCAACCATTAGAAAAGTGCCTGTCCTCAGGTGTTTAAGTTTGGATATGGTGTAACATTTTCTTCTTTTACAATTGGTATATCTCCTATTATTGTAGGTGTTTCTTCTACTTTGGGTTTTTTATATTTTATAATTAATTTCTTAGGTATGCTTTTGAACTTATATGTCAAATACAGTGTTAAACTTATTAATATGATTACAAATATGGTTATTGTAATTATCTGGAATACATTGTTAAATTTTGTATGTGCATTTATAATTTGTTTCGTTTGTACAAACGAAAGTGGTTCTAATTTTATAACATCATTGCTTACGTAAATGCTTTGAGTATAATCTAACATATTGTTTGAAATTGAAATTTCATTAATTTGCAGTGAACAATTAAAGATTTTTATTATATTGTTTCCTTCTATTGTTATTTCGTTATTTATACAATTATGATTTAATATAGTTTTTGGTAAATTCCAAGTTAAAATTATATTTGGTTCTATGTAGTTGATTTGAAAATTTTGCAAAATTTTAGTATAACTACATTCTGATGTTATTTGGTTTAAAATTCCTGTTAAACATTCATTAGTAATTAATTTTTTTGTTTCTCTGCTATAAACTTTTTTATCTTGGGTAAAATATTTTTCATGAGCTATTTCTGTCAAAATATTATTATTTTCATCCGGGTATGGAATTATTTCGAATACCGGGCTTTTTATTATTTCTCGAGGAATATGGGATATTATCAGTATTTCGTTTGTATCTGATTTAAACCAAGTGGAAGTTTTTGTATTCAACAATTTCTCAGAATTAACATGCAACAAATAGTCATGTTTTAGTAATTTTGGGTTAAAAATTCCTAATCTTGTGAGCTGCATTCCCATCTCAATGTCTTCTATATATTCTGTAAAGTGTTGTAAGTTAAATATAAGGATATCTAATTTCTTTCCTTTTTGTTTCTCTTGATCTAGTTCGTTCATGATTTCTATTCCTTTGTTTATAGCTTCTATTATGTAGTTTAATTCGTTAACCTGGACGCTGTTTTCTGCTAAGTTGCTTATTTTTTGTTCAATTTCTGCTTTGTCTTCTTGATCTAATGTTCCAAATAAGTATTTATATGCTGTTCCTACTATGTTAACTAAACCTCTTTTGCTGCGTTTGGCTATTTTTAAGCCGTTTATTTCTCTGTTTAATTTTTCTACTAGGTATTCGATTTGTATAAGGTTATTGAATTCTTTACTTTGTTCAATTAAATTGTTAAAAGTTTCTTCGGTTTTAGTTATATTAACCGTTAAACAGTGGAATTCGTAATCTGTCGGAATGTCTATGGTTCCTGTTTTAAATATGAGATATCCGTTATGGGCTTTGATAGGATTAATTTCAATACTCTGTGCATTTATATGGTTTACAGTTATTGATAGTAATATTATAATAATTAATTTAAGCTGGTGCTTGTATGTTTTGATCGCTGTCTGTTGTTGACCTGTAATTGTTATATTTGCTTTGATTAGTCTTCTTTTTCTTTTTGAATTTGGTTTTGTAATGTGTTATTTTCCTGCCTCTGTTAGTTTCCTCAAAATGTTTGTCGTCGATTTGTCTTAGTTCTCCTGTTTTCTTGAACGGGGTTGTCGTCTTTGATTTAACTAACGGTGAGTGTTTGTATCTAGTGTCAATTTCATAATTTGTTCGTTTTTTGTTGAGGTTATTTATTAGTTTTTCTTTATTAGCTTGAGTGTCATACTCTGGTGTACCTGCATATATGAATATGTCCGCTGGTGTTCTGTTAGTCGTTTTGTGCTTTGTTTTATGATTGTACGTGTAGAGTATAGTTTCAAATTTTGTAAGTTTATTTTCGACGTCTGAGTCGCTGTTAATGATTCTTAGTTTTTCGTTAACTGTCTTATGAAATCGTTCTACGTCGGATATACCATTTTTACTAGTGGTTATATTAATATTTACTGCTTCTGATTTTAGCCATAATTGTAAAGCTGTACACATAAAAGCTGAGTCTTTGTCTGCCTTTATTTCGATGGGCTTACCCATTTGGTTGAACACTTGTAATATAGCTCGTTTGGTTTCTAGCCAGTCTTTACTTTTTATATCTAATAATGATGCAAATTTTGAATAGATATCAATGCAAGATAAAAATTGTTTATCTCCTACTATGTAAAAATCCATTACATATTTTTCTCGGATATTAGCGATTTCTGGAGTTATTTCGAAAGTTAATTTTGTATCTCTGTGTTCTGTTTTTGCGATGTTGCAAATCTCACATTCATTTATTAGATTTTGAATTAAATTTTGATAATCTGGGAAATAGTGGGTTTCTTTGAACCAATTGATAGTTTTTTCAATTCCTGGATGTAATAATTCTTTGTGCTTTTTTAATATTAATTCTTTGAATTCTGCGTATGTTTGAAGGTCTATTAATTTTGTACTAGTTTTCATTGCCTTTGTTGAATTATTCGGACTTATTATTTCTAAGTAGGCTTCTTGAAAAATTGGAAAATCTGCTTCGTTGTGGAAGTATAGCACACTTTTCTTTGTGCATAAGTATTCTTTTATTAATTCTTTGGCATGCGTATTAGTCATGTCTTTGTACGTAATTTTTATGTTGGTTTTGTGAAAGTAATTCGTAACTTTTGTTTCGTTCTCGGTTCCTTTTTCAAATTCTATTTGTCGATTGTAATAATTAAGTGGTCTTTCTGTGATTTGTAAATGGTTACTGTTGTCTTCTTGAGCACTATGTATTGTTGCTCTTGTGCTAATTGTATCTTCGCCTAAGAAGTTTTCGTTTAATTGAATTCTGGACAGAGCATCTGCCACATAATTTTCTTTTCCTGGGACGTATTTAATTTGGAAATCAAACTCATTTAGCTTGATCTTCCACCTTTGTAATTTCATGTTAGGTTCTTTCATATTATTTAACCAGACGAGTGGTCTGTGATCACTAAGGATTTGAAATTGTCGACCAAAGAGATAGGACCTAAAGTATTTAGTGGCCCAAACGATTGCTAATAATTCTTTTTCAATCGTTGAATAATTTAACTCATGCTCGTTGAGAGTTCTACTTGCATAGCATATAGGCTTATGCTCTTGCGAAAGGACGGCCCCTATTGCCATATTACTTGCGTCTGTAGTTAATGAAAATGGTTTTTCGAAGTTAGGGTATATTAAAATTGGGTCGGATGTTATGAGTACTTTTAGCTTTTCAAACGCTAGTTCGTAGTCTCTGTCTTTTATATTGATTTTTGCTCCCTTTTTTAATTTAAGTGTTAATGGTTTTACTATATTAGCGAAATTTGGTATAAATTTCCTATAGAAACCACATAATCCTAGAAATGATTTAATTTCTTTTGGGGTTTTTGGAATTGGGAATTTGACAATTGCTTGTATCTTGTTGGGATTTGGTTTTATACCCTCAGTTGTGATGATGTGACCGAGAAATTCAGTTTCTTTTCTCATAAACTCGCATTTATCCAACTGTAGTTTTAAGTTAGCTTCTCTAAGCTTCTTAAATACCTTTTGTAGCGACAAAATGTGTTCCTCCAATGAAGTGGAAAAAATAATAATGTCGTCTAAGTAGACCAGACAATCTTTAAAAATTAAATCTTCTAAGAGATTGTTCATACAACGTTGGAACGTTGCAGGTGCATTCTTAAGACCAAATGGCATGCGAGTGTACTCGTAATGGCCATGTTTAGTCGAAAATGCGGTCTTGGGTATTGAACCAGGATCCATTTGGATTTGGTGGAAGCCTTTGGCTAGATCAATGGTTGTGAAATATTGACATTTTCCAAGTTTGTCTAATATTTCATCCATGATCGGGATAGGGTATTTATCAT